GGGGGGGGCGGAAGGCGGGGGCAGTTGTGGTTTGGAGGTGTGATGCATGCGCATGGGTTGCACCGGATCACGGTTACAAGGTGTCTACCTTATGTGTGGTGTAGTTCGCCGATAAATAGTGCATGCGCGCTTCCTCCTGTCGCCCACAGTCGGAGAGGGCACCCCCCATATGTCGCTTTTGTGCACCGTTGTGTCTTGTCTAGTCTCTTGTCTTCGTTCTCTCTCTCTCTCTTTCCTCTCTCTCTGCATGAAGGTGTCCAGCCGTACATTTTCATCTGCGTCCCACCGATAACCTATTTCGTCTCGTTTGTTTATTTTTCCTCGCGCAGCGGTTGGTGCCCCGCGCGCAGAGTCGGAACGGGGGATGTCTCTCGCTGTCGTTGCTTTTGTTTGCTCCCTCAAGGGTAAGTGATTTATTGTGTGTTGTCGCTCCCACTTTACTGATTGCCGTAGGTAAAGAGGAAGGGCTTTGTGTGGGCACGCACTCCACGTTCGTTCGAAGCCAGTCTGGTCTAGCCCCGGTTGGTTTCCCGCTCGAGACGTGCGTGTTTCTGTGTCAAAGCCGGATGTCGGTGGTGTATGTGACGACTGTTTCGGCCCATTGATGGGCACTGCTGTGTTTTGGTAAACATTTATGTTATCGTGACATTGATATGCGCTTTTGTCATCTCTGATCTGTGGTTGATGTGCCAGCAACTAAATACGTACTTCGAGGGAGGAGGGAGCGCAATCGAAATTGGGCCAGGGATAGTTGCCAATAGGAATGTGCCGAAAAACATCCACGTTTTGTCCGTTCCTGTTGCTGCGGCTTGTCGATCGGAGTTCTCTGTAGCTGGAGGTGGGGGCGTCCAGGCGTGATCGATGGATGGTCTGGAAGGGAAAGACGTGCCCGAACGGGCCACCCCGGACCTCTCTTGTCTTCGGAGACTCATTCAAAGTGCAGCGAATTATTTTTGATGACGGTATTTTTCGTGGATACGAAGTATTCTTTACGTCGTGGTGGCTCTTTCTCTCACTGCGCGTGCTTGGTGTATTGTGGAGGGACATGGTAGCCTTCAGTGTCCGACTCTGGTGGTTGTTCTGTCTTTGGATCGCGATTCGGCAATTGTTGGCTTGATTGAAGCTCTCGTTTCCGACACCACCTTTTCGAAATGCTTGTTTCGTCTCTGGTGCCGTTGTCATAACAAAATGCTGCGGTGTTGTTTGTTCCTCCCCGCTTGCTGCTTCGAAACACTGCTGGTCACGCTCGAACATTCTTGGCAGTTTTGTCGCCGGCCTCGGACAGGGGAGATTGTGCCGAACATCGTCCTGAAGTGAACGTACTGTGTGCGCACTTCTCCAAACTGGACTACTGGGGTTGAGTGTTATAGAGGATTGGTGGAGCGTGATGCATTGTGAACGTGCTACATCCCGGCAGGCTATGCCTCGACAGTGCCGTTTCCTGTTGGTTCCATGGTTCTGATTTAACTGCTTCTTGGTTGTATGCATAGACGCGTGCGGTGTGTGATGAATGCTAGTAAATACTTTGATGTAAAATGCATGGCCCGTGCTTTGGATGTGTTGTCTGTCCGAGTTATTGGTTGACGGGTTGGGGGAGAAAAATTCGAGATATTTTTTTTATGTTCGTTCTTGGTCATGACATCTTGCGTTGGATTTGTTGCCATCTTTGACCGACACTTTTGGATCTGAATCTGTTCCGCTTACCTTTGCTTACATGATGTCACCTCCAAGACGGGTGTATTGTGGAACAGTGGATTACAAGTATGTACGTGCGACGAAGAACACGAGGTCGAGATCTTTTTTATGTAAGTGGATTTCAATTGCAGTATGCATAGCCCTCTGGTTCGCTTTGGACCAAGTCGTCACCTGAGACAGGACGGGAAAATAGCACATAAATTTGACGAGGACAGCGGGTTTTATTGGGTTCACATTCCTGCGAGTGGGATATTTTATGTCGGCTCGAAAGGTCTCTCCTGCTTCTGTCTACATGTTGTCGCGGAATACTACGGTACATGTTCACGACTCTTCCATGTCCATGGATGGTTTTTGAAGTGACGCAACGACCTGCCACACAGACAACGACGAAGGCAGGCTGGGGATGGCGTTTTTGCCGGAAGCCGTCACTGAATTACATGCCATTCGCGGCATAGGAACAATATGAGACATGTTGCTGCCTGAAACCCCTTTTCGTTTGATTTCGCAGTACAATCTCAAGCTTTTTCGTCTCTCCCCTGCAGCAGTGAAGCTATTCGTACACACAACTCATGCAGAACAGACGCACAAATATATCTGCATGTATCGCGAACGCGTTTTGTACAGATGTATGTGAACGGGGGGGGGGGGTTGCATGTTTCGCCAATCTCCGGAGTAGCTCGAGCCGTCGGTGTTGTGCTTTCCTCTGCGAATCAGTGAAAATGCATGGCATTGCTCGTTGCTCGTTTTTTTTTGTAGAAATGCCTTGGCGTGGGGGGCGCAGGTCCGCCCAAAACGCCCATCAATGCTCGCAGAACATGATGCTTGGGAACAGCACCCACACCCCAAATACATTGACCGCGAATTAAGCCGCAGCTGGCTTCATTTAGCAACGGCACCGCACGCGCGAAAGCAGACTTGATCTGCCCTGCGCGCGTTGTAACATATAGACTAGTTTAGGAGTGAAGCACGCAGCAGCAGAACCACAGCAGTTCGTACTCGCGCCTGACGTGAAAAAAAATCCCTTTTCAAAACTGCGGCCAGTCAGTCACGCTTTCGCCGACCGGTCGCTTGGCGAGATCGGACGAAAAATTCCTCACGTCGTATAATATTTGTCACTGTTCCGAACAGGACAAAACTGCTCGTGTACTCCTTCCTTGGATCAGCCACGCCTCCCCCCGGCCAACCCTCGTAGATTGATATGAAACACAGCGATGCAGGTCGGGTTTCCATCCCCCTGTCTCTGCTTGGCGCGGACTTTTTACTCTGTACCTCTCCACGAAGCAAAGAGCACCGCCACGGGGGGGTGCCTGTTCCATCACGGCCGAAATCCCCGGCTGATATTTCAACACTGAAGCGACCCGGGAACCCCCGCGACAGGGAGGAAGGAGCGTTAGCCCCAAAGCAAGCTGCTGTTGGAACACGTGCCAACTCTCTTAACCATGCGCGCAAAATGGTACACTTAGGCGAGGAATCCCCGACATGCTCAAAAGCGATTTGGAGGGAGGTATTTGCCACCCACTCCCGTCCCTCTACCCCCCTCGCCCTCAGATGGGAGTACTATGCCGAAGTACTATGCCGAAGTCCGCACTTCCCTTCCGTCTACAAGCCAAGACCGTCCGGAAAACCTTGCCCCATGGATATTGCTATATCTAGATGAACTGCGAAAGCCACTTGAAGCCTGTTCGAACCACGGGAAAAGGGAGACAGAGAGACGGCATGCACAA